CTGGGAGGCCGTTTGTGTGGGGAAGGCAGGAGGCTGCTCAGTCCTGGGAGGCCGTTTGTGTGGGGAAGGCAGGAGGCTGCTCAGTCCTGGGAGGCTGTTTGTGTGGGCCTGGGAGACTCAGTCTTGCTAGTGTCTTGCAGGGTGGTGCTCAGCTTCCCTAGGAGCCCCTTGGGTTCAGAACATCTCTGCTCCAATCACTGGGAAGCAGAACCTCCCCGTCCACTCCCACCCCTGACGCGAGCTACGGTACGCAGGAATCTTGGCCTGGATACATGATCTGGGGGAAAGCAGCCAGGCACACAAGGCCACACAGCATGCCCCTCCACTGACAAGCCATGCCAGGCCAGGCAAGCCATTAAAGCAGAAACAAGTCAGAGGCTGCCAGGGGCGGGAGGGAGGTGTGAGGGGTCTTATTTTGGAGTGATGAACTGAGGGTAACTGTTCACAGGATTGTGACAGTTCTGAGCATGCTGAAGCAGGAGCACAAATACATGTGTGCACTCGTGTGTGTGTGTGTGTTGGACCTGGGCTTGAACTCAGGGCCTGGATGCTGTATCTGAATCTTTTTGGGAGGAGGGGGTCAGTCATGGGGCTTGAACTCTGTCTCTGAGCTCTTTTGCTCAACACAAACGTTCTACCATTTGAGCCACAGCGCCACTTCCAGTTTTCTGGTGGTTAGAGATAAGAGCTTTCGGACTTTCCTGTTAAGGCTGGCTTCCAACAGTGATCTTCAGATCTCAGCCTCCTGAGTAGCTAGGATTATAGGCGTGAGCCACTGGCACCCAGCTGTATCTGAATTCTTTGCTCAAGGCTAGCATTCTACCACTTGAGCCACATCTGTTTCTAGCTTTTTGGTGGTTAACTGGAGAGTCTCATAGAGCAGGGTGCTAGCAGCTCATGCCTATAATCCTAGCTACTCAGGAGGCTGAGATCTGAGGATCACAGTTCAAAGCCAGCCCAGGCAGGAAAGTCTGTGAGACTTTTTTTTTTTTTGGTCGGTTGTGGGGCTTGAACTCTGGGCCTGGGCGCTGTTCCTCAGCTCTTCAGCTCAAGGCAAGTGTTCTAACACTTGAGCCACAGCGCCACTTCCAGTTTTCTGGCAGTTTATTGGAGATAAGAGTTTCACAGACTTTCCTGCCGGGGCTGGCTTTGAACCATGATCCTCAGATCTCAGCTTCCTGAGTAGCTGGGATTACAGGCATGAGCTACCAGCGCCCAGCTAAGAATTGTATTATTTTTCTATTAAAAGGAACCAAGTTGGGTGTCATTGGCTAAGGCCTATAAATTCTAGCTTCAGGAGACCGAGACCTAAAGAATTGAATTTTGAGGTCAGACTTCACCTCCAAATATCAGCAAAAGGCAGGCCTGGAGGGTTCAGGTGGTAGAGCTCCAGTCTAGCCAGTGCAAGGCCCTGTGTTCAAAACCCAATACCAGAAAAAAAAGAAAAAGAAAAAGCAAACAAAACCAAGTCAAAAGAACAGCAGAGCCCACGGAGAAGCAGCCGTGTCCCGGAGGTGATGTGGCGGCACACTCACCTCGTCACACCCGATGTGCAGCCAGCGTGCGTTCCTGTGCAGCTCTAGAACCTGGTCAGCCATGGCCCCCACCAGCGCCAGGGACTCGGCCGCATGAGGGTTCAGAGTGTTGGGGAAACAGGCTACTTCTCGGAGGTGAGCAAATGCTGCGTGCTTCAGCACAAACTGTGGGGAGACGGAGGGCAGTGGGGAGCTGTTGCCCGGGGGCCTGGGCCAGGCTCCAGGCTCCAGCCACACAGAGGGCTTTGTGCTCAGTGCCCAGGCCCGTCCGTGACCTGCACGGCTCACGCTCCCATCTCCAGGAGGGGGGCCCCCGGCACAGCTGAGGGCCCCGGCCAGGCAGCAGTCCCTAAACCTCCACTTGGTCCCCTGGCAGCATGCTGCCCTCAGTTCTAACTGAGCTGAGGAACAGAAGCAGGTGAAGCAGGCAGAGCCACGGGTGGCTTGGCTCAGTGTGAAGAGCCAGCAGGTCCTCTGCGGGTGCACAGAGGGGCAGAGGCCTGCCTCTGCGGGTGCACAGAGGGGCAGAGGCCTGCCTCTGCGGGTGCACAGAGGGGCAGAGGCCTGCCTCTGCGGGTGCACACAGGGGCAGATCTCCACAGGTACGTGCGCACACGCACACGCACACGCACACACACACACACACACACACGGGGATCCTCCCCTGGACAAGCACACACATGAGGAAATTCGGTCCTTGAAAGAATCCACTCGGGGTCATGTGCACAAAGGAGCAGCCATCTTAGGGCTCTGGGAATCAATCACATTGTGAAACGTTTGGTTTTTCTTTTTGTGCGGCCCTAGAGCTTGAACTCAGAACCAGCATTCCGTCCCTGAGCTTTCTTTTGCTGAAGGCTAGCACTGCACCACTTGAGCCACAACTCCACTTCAGGCTTTTTGGTGGTTCACTGGAGGTAAGAGTCTCGTGGACTTTCCTGTCTGGCATGGCTTGGAACCTTGATCCTCAGATACCAGTCTCCTGAGTAGCTAGGATTAGACAGGTGTGAGCCACTGGCTGGCCATGACTACTTTCAGGCATTAATGGTGTGTAGGGAGGGGGACACGGGCAGACAATGGAAGGCTGCTTCTGCTCCCAGGCAGGGCTCCTCTGCCCTGGGGTTGTGTGCTCTGCAGCCATTCACAGGACAACCCCCTGAAGGCAGTATTGTGTCTGTGCTCCCCAACCCTGGCACAGGCCTGCTGCCAGACCATGTTTTTGGTGTCAAGTAAGTTCCAGCCTTGCCGCTCACCTCCATGTGTCCAAATGTCTGCACCAGGGGGATGACCTCCAGCTCGCTGCATCTGGCCAGGCGCAGGAGCTCTGCCACTTCAGAGGGGCTGCAAGACAAAGCCTCAGCGAGCCTGCAGAGGCCAGCACCGAGCCCTCCCAGCCAGCCCTGGGGTCCAGGAGGCAGTGGAGATAGTGACAGCGCTGTCACCAGACCCTCGGCAACCTGGACAGGAAGCTGCTCTCATCTCACAGAGATTTTACATGAAGCCTGGCTGCACACGATTACCCTGAAAAGCACTAGCAGACCAGCTCCAGGGAAACTCACCCCATGCCTTTGTTTTTGCACAGCCTTCAACCGAACCGTGAGCCCTCAAGGCCGAGAGCCTGTTCTCAGGGGTCACTCTGTGCAAGGGCCCTGCCCAGTCTACTGATTCATCCACCACAGAGGGCATCATGACTTCTCCATGGGCTTATCTCAGAAAAGAAAACCATGCCGGGGAGCCCGCAGCTCATGCCTGTCATCCTAGCTACTCAGGAGGCTGAGATCTGAGGATCTCAGTTCAAAGACAGCCCAGGCAGTAAAGTCTGCGAGACTCTTATCTCCAATAAACCACCAGAAAGCTGGAAGTGGTGCTGTGGCTCAAGTGGTAGAGCGCTCGCCTTGAGCTGAAGAGCTGAGGGACAGCGCCCAGGCCCAGAGTTCAAGCCCCATGACGGACAAAAAAAAAAACATTTCTAGTTTTTGCATGTATTTCAACTATGTCTATGGATTTTAATCATAGAAGGTTCTTTTGGCTCTATGTAAACCTGTTTCCAGCTCCAAAGAAACTATGGTACATTTTCACTTTGAGACATAAAGTACATTACTTTAGAAAAAGAACCACAACACAAAGGACATACAAACCACAAGCATCTCACCACCACACTCACCAACATCACTGCCATGCTCACACCACACACACCAGCATTCATACCATGCTCACACCACACACCAGCATCTCACCACCACGCTCACACACACACACCAGCATCTCATACCACACTCACACCACACACACCAGCATTCATACCACGCTCACACACACACACCAGCATCTCATACCACGCTCACACCACACACACCAGCATCTCACCACCACGCTCACACCACACACACCAGCATCTCATACCACGCTCACACCACACACCAGGATCTCATACCACGCTCACACCACACACCAGCATCTCATACCACGCTCACACCACACACACCAGCATCTCATACCACGCTCACACCACATACCAGCATCTCATACCACGCTCACACACACACACCAGCATCTCACCATCACGCTCACACCACACACACCAGCATCTCATACCACGCTCACACCACACACACCAGCATCTCATACCACGCTCACACCACACACCAGCATCTCACCACCACGCTCACACCACACACTAGCATCTCATACCACGCTCACACCACACACACCAGCATGTCACCGCCACGCTCACACCACACACACCAGCATGTCACCGCCACGCTCACACCACACACACCAGCATGTCACCGCCACGCTCACACCACACACACCAGCATCTCACCACCACGCTCACACCACAAACACCAGCATCTCATACCATGCTCACACCACACACCAGCATCTCATACCACGCTCACACCACACACACCAGCATGTCACCGCCACGCTCACACCACACACACCAGCATCTCACCACCACACTCACACCACAAACACCAGCATCTCATACCACGCTCACACCACACACACCAGCATCTCATACCACGCTCACACCACAC